CTTCACGTTGAAACGAAACACGCGTCACTCACAGATTAGCACTATTTCCTTCTTTTTCTTTTTTTTTTTTTTTTTTTTTAATATTACCAAACAAAGCGGAACTCCGAAGTTTCCACCGATTTTCGTACCGTATTATGTCACACGATACGCGAATTTACAGGTGTAAAGCGATGCGTAGCATAGTGTCCCCCGTGGAATCGGAACGTTCGACAGCAAACTGCTCGACTATCAAACGATTTCTGTTTTATTACCGATACCGATAGAACCGAGATTGGCGGTCTGTTGAGGACAACATGGATATATCGAGTGATACTGGTCGCTTTAAACGAAATATTGTCAAACCGTGATGATCGAGATGATGGTTTCACAAAGTTTCGTTCGTACGATTTTTCTTCTCTTCGGGAGAAGAAACGAATCGAATTCGCGTTCACGTTTGATCGAGTTACTTTCTCGAAAGTACGATACCAGTAATGGGCAATGTTAGAACAAGTTTCCTTTGATTGAACAGAAAGATTTAGATCAGAGTTGAAATTTTATAATTAATGTTGTTTACATTCAAATAATCGAAAGGATATTCAATTAGGAATAAAGAATGTGAGAATTGAATAATTTGAAGAGTTGAAGTTTAAATTTTACACTTAACGTTATTTAAAATGATCAGAAATAAGAAGCTTGTAATACTAGAATGTGAAAATTTAGTAACTAGAAAAATTATATAAATATTCGAAGTTTAATATTATTTATATTTAAGTAATTGAAAGGACTGGATATGAAGGATTTAATGATTAAAGGAATTTTAAGTGTCGTAAAAAAATAACAACGACGATAATAGAAATGAGGAAAAGACAAGTCAGAAACGTAACGCTAGAAATTCAAAGATCTCGAGTGAAAATAAATTAGAGAAAAAAAAAAAAAAAAAAGAAAGAAAGAAAGAAAAGATCGACAAATCGAGATGAAATAATCGACGAAACGTGCGAGAAACGTATTGTACATACCTTGTTGCATTGTTCGCAGGTTGTACTACTACAATCTAAAGAGATCCAAAGTAAAAACCTGCAGGAATTTCGAATCAAGGCTGTCTCTCTTTTCAAGGTAAATACACTTAAACCAAGCTGCGTAATTAGAAACGATTCTTCCATGAATTGGAACAGAGAAAAAAAAAAAGAAAAATTGGAAAAGAAAAAAAAATTATACGAAGAAGAACGCCAATCTATAAACGAGAATAGAAGAGATTCGTGTTCGTAATTTCTCTGACGTAACGAAAATTTTTGTCTAGAGATTCTTTCGTAAATGTTCGCGATACTTAGCTTCCTTCGTGAAGGTTGTCGTTTGCGATTGCTTTTAAAGGAATTAACCGGGGAAACCGATGGAAGAGCAGTTTGTTAGTCACGACTTTTTGGAATTGTTGCATTTCTAAATAAGTTGCCTCTCGTTAGAACGTTGATCGAACTGGGATAGTTAATATAATCTGTTCCACGTTTGATGTTGTTATTATTATCATTTCTTTTTGTCGAATACTGTTTAATTGTTAATTAGATTGTCGACTAAATCTCAGTTCGGCCAAAAAACTTCTTCATTTACGAGTAATTTCCTTTCTACAGCTTTATTCTCTAGCTTTAGTTCTTTTTTTCTTTTTCTATTTTTCTTCTACTTCTTTATCGCAGAGTACAAGTTTCACAATTAGTATTTAAATCAAAATTCTTATTCACTGTTTCGTACAAATTTCTTTTAGAATCTCTGATGTTCTCCTCTTTACTATACTCTTCGGACTTTGATTTCGTCCCACTTTCCAGTTTTTCACCTTTCGAATCACCCGCTGCCTTTAGTTTTACTTTTCCAAATCATAGAACGACGTATTCTTTTGCAACTCCAGTGGAATACTTTCACTGTTGTGTCGCGAAATCATTGCAAACAAACGAGATGTCCAACGTTCGAACTGAGATCGGTGGACCATTAACCAGCCCCAACAAGCCGAAAATATTCTTCCATTTGCACTGAAATTGACCGCTTGCGCTGGACAACTGATTGCGGACCATAACGAGTGACCGAACCGTATAAAATAAATAATTCGTCGCTTTCTTTTTCAACTCGTCGGTATAGAAATCATTGAGAAGTAATAAATTTATTATTCATTTTGCCTAGGTTATAACAAATATACTTAAAATTATAATAAATATACTTAAATATACTTAAATATTGTATAATATTTATTTTCTAGTATATATATTTACTATATTTACTATTTATTTTTTAGTATATAAATATTATATTAAATGTATTTATTGTATATTTTATTATATTATTATATTATATTATATAATATACTTAAAACTGAGATAATATTGCAATTTTTTGGGACAAAAAATTCTCGACGCGCGTAGCACGTCATTCCAGCGCAAGAGGTTAATAACGATTGAATTCGAGACTTTCGTTTATTCTCGATGAGAGACTCATATTGGGAATCGAGGAATTTCTCGAGATTCAAGGGAATAAACCGAATTTTACAGATGATGATTTACTGGACGATAATCGGCCCCGCGACGGTCGTCGGGGACCCAAACGACCGCGGACGATCCTCACGTCGGCGCAGAGGCGTCAGTTCAAAGCGTCGTTCGAGGTGTCGCCGAAGCCTTGTCGAAAAGTCCGGGAGGCACTGGCGAAGGACACGGGCCTGAGCGTACGCGTGGTTCAAGTCTGGTTCCAAAACCAACGGGCGAAGATGAAGAAGCTGCAGAGGAAAGCGAAAACCGAGCCTGGATCCGACAAGGAGCCCAAGGAGGAACGTCGAACAGAGAGTCCTCACAGCGATCACAGTAAGATACAACACAGTAGTAGTTCATATTTGCTAATTTTAAACGAAAATTCTTTCTTAATTCCACGTTGTGTTTCGAGTTTCACTTTCACGATCTGTCCACAGTGACTCGACTATGAGAAAAGGATGATTGCTTAGAGTAAAGAAAAATTTCTGTTCGCGAAATATTCGACATTTTGTTTAACTATTTAACGTTTCGCGAAGACTGGTTAATGGGGCTTCGATAGATGTATTGTTGGTACAATTGCCGTACAATCGTTTGATCTCGTTCGCAGGTCATTACTTGAACGCCATGAACATGCGCGACGGGGAATCTTCTAGCTTCCCCTCAGCCACTCAACCGCTCAACCCCAATAACCCGTACTCGCCCGACGGTAAGTCACTTCTACTGGTAGAAAACCTAGGAAGGATGGTTGTGCATCGTATTGAATGTAATTTCGGAAATGAAATTACTCTTAATCCCTACGTTTTATATATTAAAATCTTCAACTACCAAAATCTCCTTGCACGTTGCGTAATTTATGATTACTTGAAGTTGCAAACGCGTGTTTCACAGAAGTACTCTCAAAATTATCCAAAGATTACACTAAGATGAGAAATACATATACGTTTAAGATATTTTCCTCCAAATTGCATTTGAAGAAAATGTTTAAATCCCACTTGTAGATATAGATCTCGATTTTTGCAATTCAATTTGTTTTTGTTACAATGTAAAAGTTTATTGGCCTATGCTGAACCAAGCGAATCTTTGATCACTCTGTGCTTGACCAGTCTGTAATCGTTGATTTCAGACGCGTATCCAGGCCACTCAGGCGAGAGTTTCTGCAGCAGCGATCTGTCGTTGGATGGCACGGAGGCTGGCTTCGACATAGGTGAGAACGAGGGTGGCGGCGGCCAAGAGGGTGGCCATCAAGCCAGCGGCCACTCCCACCACGGACCAACGTCCCACGAGGCGCCCTCGTTGTCGCAGAGTTTACACGCGGCGATTCACAATCCCATCGACAAACTGTTCATGATGCAGAGTAGTTACTTCAGTGGTGACCACGCGTAATCCACGAGGGAGAAAGCGGAAGGGAAGCTGAGAGAACGAGAGAACAGGAACAAGGGAAAGAAAGGGATGAGATGGTGTTCTCCTCTTCTCCTCGCGACTGGCTCTCCCAAAGTCCCCGTCGACGTAGCTGACCCCTGCGCGCAATCGATGTGCCGTCATCGCAAACACTTCCTGTCTTCTGGTTCGCAAATCGGAGGCAAACGGAGAACGCCGTACAGCATCGGTTTCTGTGACGGTTTTTATTTCCCATCCTTTTTTTTTTTTACACATTTACTTCAGTCGTTTCCTTCGTCTGTTTGCTTTTGCATGTGTAGAAGCTTGGGTGCTGGTTATTACTGGGTATCTTGACGACGCTTTCATTTTGTTCATTTATTTATTTATTTATTTTTAACTTTTCGTGATATCGACCCCATTAACATTTGGATTTTTCGAATTTACAAAGCTTAATGCTAGTAAAGTGTAATTTACGCATACAGTGTAAATCACAGCAGTTCGTATATGCCTTTCATGTCTCAAATATTTTAAATGGGAAATGAGTTTTTGGATATTTTATGCTTCTTTATTTCAAGTATGAAATATCGTAGTTTTGTTTGAGCAATATCAACTAACAAGTCATTAAGTAACGAATATATTGACTGTTGTGAATATCGTGGTCTTACACAAACTGGTCGTTTCTACTTACCCAGATGTGTATCGCAGATTTAAGTGTTAAAGAATTATTTAATTATTTAAATAGCAATGGATTATTAAGAGATCTCTATTTAATCTCTTGCTTTATGATATCTTATAGTTATATTTGTTAAATTATATAATCGCGGATATAAGGCGGAGTTATTTAATTTATTTATTTATTTAATCATGACTAGCAATTCAATTTATTAGGATGTTTTAATCCTCATTTGCCTTTCGTTTTCTCTATTTAGCTTCTAGTATTTCAATATTGGGTCGCTGGTTATGCATTCGTAAGAAAATTTTGTCATCTTCTTAATCTAAGGATCACCGATTTTTAAATTATTTTCTTCTTTCTATTTTCAATGATTTATTGTTTCGATTTTTGTCTCGTTCCTTTAAAATTCTTCTGAACAGACCAATTAAATTTTCCTCAAAAAGTACCTTGCTAAAAACCTTAAGAATTTCCAAATTTCTTTCTCTTCCTCTTTTTTTTTCTCTATTTCTCTTTCTTTCAAGAATTTCTAAATCGATTTATTTCGTCACTGAGTCATTTCTTTTGCAGTCCTACGCCTTCTGTCAATTATACATAATTCGTTCGACGAAAAATTAGAAGAAAATGCTGTACGACAGATTTTTCCTCTATCAGCATCGCTTCACGATTATCGTTCTCAGTGCTAACCATTTAATTAAGATGATTCTCGTGGTACGACAAAAAAAAAAAAAAAAGAAGAAGAAGAAAACGAGAATGACAAGGACATTGATGCTGTAATGGTGTATTCGCGGTTCGATTTAATATTAAATGATGATGATGTACCCCTCAGTTTCCACGTATAAAAAGCATCTATTTAAACATCGACGTACGTTCGTACCTTATTTCTGCCTCGACAGATTGTTGTTAACAAACGTGATTAACTCGTCGATTCCGAATCGAGGCTCTTCTGTGTTCGGCGTCTTTTTGCAATGTGTCAAATTAATTCCGTCGACCCTCTCTGAATGATACAAAAGCCAGCGAGAAAATTGAATTAAATCTCAAACTATCCATAGATTGGATATTTCGATGGATTAACATTCAGAAAGTATTGGAAAATTATTTGAAATATTCGAAAAGTTCGTGATTTACGAAAAATTCGAAGTTAAAGTTTCGAAATTTAAGTGTCGTGCTTTTTAAATAGAAATTAAAATGTTTATATGAAATTTTTTATTGTATTCCATACACATGCAAGATGTTTCCTATATTCTCTCGAAATATTTAATTTCATTACTCGATCATATTTATAAAAATTCTGCGAACATTATAGTGATAGTTTCTTCATTTAGAAATGATTTTGTATGACAAGAAATATCATTCGATTTATTATTTAAAGAAGCGACAATTTCTAAATAAAATGATGTTTTATAAACGATGAAAGATTAGTGACGTTACTGTAATTTTCAGGGGTTGTAAATTCTCAACAAAACTTACCAATCCCTAATAAAAATTACTCTCAAGAGTGAGCGATTTTTATAATGTTAATACTCTGTCTAAACTCCTTTTAAAAGATTTCATTACGATTATCTAATTAAATAAAATTCACATAATTTAAAATATACCAAATTTTGAAGTACTTAAGAAACACATCAAAAATCTTGGTGTCGAAGCGAACAAAATGCGTGATCAAAACTGACCATTAATCGAAGGCTTTTAGGAAAGATTTTAGCATATGAAATGACCAATTTTTGAAATGAATTTCTTCTTAATTAATTTTCAAAATAAACCAATGAAACTTTCAAATCGATTAGATGCAACTACATATTTTAGAGAAGAAAAGATACGATAAGGTATATGAAATGTTTCTCAATTTTTTGAAGAAAGGAAAGAAGTATGTGGATTAAAATTGATTCAGAAAGGATCGACTCGCAGAATCGTAGCATTGCAGTCTGAGTTACAGGAAAATTAATAGCCAAGCTATTAGGTTCGACAAGAAGCATTTACTAGGAACCGTACGAATTAGTGAAAATTACAATACATTGTATAAAAAAAGGGAAAGGTGTTTTCTTACCTCAACAATCACTGCTTCATATCCCATTCTGATATATCTTTTGTTAGTAAAAACTAGAAAAGTAAATCTTGATTCTGGTGTCAAAAATACACGCCCATATTACAGTGGATCACAGTGAAAAGGCCTGAAATAAGTCAGACAAGGTAAGAATAAAGAGTTTATTATATCAGAAATATAATGACCAAAAACAAACGAACAAAAAAAAAACAAAGTCTCGGATTTAAAACGTACGCGCAATATGCGGATCTTTTAAGGAAAACCTTTAGAAACATACAAAATTTGACTTGATCGTTTTCGGGCTTAAAAATCGGCACAGTCAGCAAATGGCGATTTAATAACTCTTCGTAGACGCGAACACAATTGCACCAATCGTTATCGTAATCGTGAGAAATCCATAAGTACGATCTTCGAGTTTCATTATCTTTGAGAAATTTTCAACAGGAACTATTAACAACATACGCATTAGAATATATACATATATATGCGTAACGAGCAATATCGTCTTTTTTCCAAACGTGTAACGTATATATTATAACATCACTATTCCTAACCTAATCTATTTATTCAAACAACAGTAGCACACGATTTATTTGCTACAAAAACACTTCACAAAACAACGAACGTTAAAATGTTACTCAAATGAAACTTAAATTCCTTGGTTGAAGGATTCTTTTTTTCTAACATTTATTTTGCAATTTAAAAATAAAATTCCAAAGGATCTTTAATAATAATACTTAAAAAAGAAAAAGTTTAATACTGTGCAACAGTGACATCTGTAACAGTTTCATCGATCAACGATATTGCCCAGAAAAATCGAAAAGAAAGAATCGATTAACATTCGATAATCGATTGACGCTGTAACGGCCAGTAATGCTAAGATGGCGTCGCGTGAGTAGACGTTTCGTAAACTCTTGACAAAATTCGGCCTCTTATTCCCGAAAAGTAACCGGTCGTTGCCAATATTAACATCGAAAGGAAGCGAATAACATCGAGCGAAACTTTAGTTGTTCGGTAAGCGTCCCGGAGAAACGGCAAACGAAAAAAATCGACGAAAAAGGTTGTAAGAAACGATTGTGCGATCGTCGTAGCCCGCCGGCGTCGTAGTTGAGAGCGCGAACGAGTGGGGTAGGAGATTCGGGTGAATCCGGCTCGCGTCGGGACTCTTCGATAGGCGCCGTACGAATTTCGAACGAGCGCGCAGTTTCGCGGGGATCGTTCAACGAGTAGATCGCGACCGATCATTCAATTTGTCCATTGTACGTATTATTTAACGTTACTCGTTGTATGAATGTATGTGTGTGTGTGTATGTGTGTATGTGTTTGTGTACGTGTATGTGCGTGTATGAGTGTAAGTCATCGTGATTCGCGCGATGACCCGAGCCAGTCGTTCCCGGCAGTGACGGTGGTATGTACAGAAGTAGCGGTGCGTCTCGTTTTCACGGTACGTTATTCACTATTGAACTTTGATCTTTAATTTCAGCCTGTTTGGCTCGCAGCCAGAGTATCATGCGTTACACAAGCGTTTCACGAACAATAATAGAAAATAAGGCATTAACGATGAGCTACGGTTTTTATTGCTGGCGTCAGTCGACTTATAGGTTAGACCTCCCTTCTTCTCTTGTTTGTCAGCGTTAGCCGTCCATTGCTTTCCTTCGTCCTGGCGTACGAACGATTCAAACGTTGACGCGATATTTTTGTATAATTAATCCTCTTGCTTCTTGGCTATCCCGATGATTCTTCAATCCTCTTTTTCTTCTTTAGAGGGAGTAATTGTTGATAATTGGGAATGGTTGATGGTTGTTCGATTTCGCGACTTTTTTTGGCTCGGATTCAGAATAATCGATAATCACACGCATGATCGAAATAGGTTAGTCAAACTTTGCTTCTTTCGAGCATAAAAAAAAGATCGATATATCGATACTTTTGAATTGAAATTTCTCGGTTTAATACCACAAACATGTATTTCTGTTATACTACTTTTTTCCTTTTTTTTAATCAGAAAAAAAAATCTTTTCGAATTTATATATTATATTATTAATATAATATATAATATAATACATTATATATTATATTTATATATTGTAATATTCATATTATTTGATATTTTTAAAAATAGCAAAATATGATATCAAAGTTTAACTACCTATTTCAAATACGTCGTGTACAACAGATTACTATAAAACGATATTTCATCTTACAGTCGTAACTACACAAAGTTTCCTTTACAATCTTTGTAATCAATGACTGTAAGATATTATAATTGCGATTATAAAAATTATTTGTTAAAGAGTAACAATTTTTTAACCTGTGTGATCGTACAATTTTCTGTTCACTTTGTAGTCACAATTATATGGTATAATTTTAACAAAAAATGTTTCTTTTCATTAGATTACAGTCAATGATTATATAGAATTCTTAATTTCGTAATCATAACTACAAATAAATTTTACATTGAGAATTATACTTTCTTTGGTTTCGAAGACGATTTGTGACTATACAGTCTTTCTCTTGGTTTATAATAACAATTAAGTAACAGTTTAGGTAATGATTCTTAGTAATACTTTCTTTGGCTTACATAAAGAGTATATAACCAGTGACTAATATTTTTATACTATTTTCTTTGCTTAACGATCGATTAACTCAATGAAATTTCATTAATATACCCAATTAATCAGTTTAAAAGTATGAACTTACTTTTTCAGGTAAAAAATACGAACTTCGTTAACATTTATAATTGATAACTATATGGTTTCAACTTGTATACTATTCTCTTAAGTCAACATCGATTTAAACTCTTTAGTCTTTTAAATTTCGTAATTTTCGAATCGGAAATATCAGAAACGAAATACCTTCGTCAAAGTCTATAAATCCAATAATTTCCTGGATCCATTTATAGTCGCAAGTATGATAATGTTTTTGCATATCATTTTTGCAATTTTTAAAATACAAACAATCGAGATTTTTCGTCAACATCTGAATCACGTTCGAACGGACGTAAATGCTCGTATCATCGAGAACGGAAGGAAATCTGTCGAACGACTCGCAGATATTCTGTTCCTTAGTTGAAGAACAATTAACGCCCGTATATACGTCTATAAACTCGTTTAACGACGATAAACAACAATACGGTAGAAATGCAACATTCGTTCCTCTATAAAATCATCGATCACAGGTTTTCATTTGTCGCGACGGTTTTTCCACTTTTTCTTTCTGTTTTTTTCTCTTTTTTTTTTAATTTTTTTACGTTTGTTTTTTTTTGGTTGATTTCTTTTCTCTTCGAAGAGCGTCGTATGTTCAGTGTCAGGCATTTTGAAATTCTATCTAAAAATTCCCTGCAAACTGTTCGATTGCGCAGTTTGTCAGAGTAAATTCGAATTAAAATCGTTTCAAATATTGTATTAGTCTGTTCCATAGGTAATTAGAATTTCTTTTTTTCTTTTTTTTTTGGAAATAAAATTTTCTGAGATTTCTGGGAAAGAATTTTTAAAAATATTACAATCAATTGTCCTGGAAATACATTTGTCAAAATGTAAAAAAAAATTGTATAGAGACATGGTGAATCTTTTTTAAGGATCAACCCTCTTCAAATGATTCGAACATTGACTTGAAGATATTTTTCTATAAAAATCTGAACTCCAAGTTAAATTAATTATTCCACGAAAGTGATTTCCAAAGAAAATAGAAGTAGAATAAAATATTCACAGAGAAAAAGTAGTTGAAAAACTTTTTCTAAAAGCAACGCTATTACCTTTAGAACAGACTATAATACTACAATAACATTGCGTCGATGAAAGCCGATATAATTTTCCCCCTTTGAATTAGAATTCACTTGTAAAATTACGCGTCTTAGTTAACTCTATCTACGATATTAATCTTATAATTTCGTCTACTTGGCCTTCTACGAGTAATTAATCGAGATACTTTCGGATTAAAAGAGCAATTGGAAGAACCACGTTCGTTTCAACGTGCTCTCAGGCAGTGCGACTAAAGTGAACTAAGTATTAATCATTTACGTAGGCACGGTGTTGCGAAGATACGCGTGTATTATTAAATGGACGATATTCGTTTGACTTAATGTACTTAATGTTACTTCTAATTCGAAAGGGAAGCTCTCCTTTTCATTTAAATAGGTCTGAATTTTTATTTTCTCATCTCTCGGAGACTACGATTTTTTTTTTTCTTTTTCATTTTCGTTTACTACGATTCTCTATTGTTGAATTCAGATTCTTGATAATTTCGAATATAAGTCGTGTCCCTTTTTGTCCCAATTTTCCAATTCGCAAATCAATACTTCTCCGCTGATTTTGTAATCCGTTTGAAAAGCTATCGTGTCAACAATTACTGAATGGAACAAGCAGTACAATCCCGCATCGAGTTAATAAATACACTAATGCTCTGCAAGGTCCCATCAGTGGCAATTAATTTATTATTGGTACACATCGAATCGTCGTTCCACACGATATACGATATTGCATTAATTGCACTTGATCCGTCGTGGCCAATTAGCCAACGCAACATACTTCTTTCAACGGCTACTCCTTCAAATTCGAAAGAATTGCCAACTTTAGGGGCGAAAAACTTTCAATTTTCTCCGTTTATAAATCGTTTTTGAAATTCGAATCATCGACGTTCATCCACCGTGTTCTCTTTTACCCAACACTGACTGTCTCTTCGTTTTCTTACTCTTCTAATAAAACATCTAAATTCAGCCCTAAGTGCTCTAACGATGGGTTGCAGTTCACGCGGGGCGAGAAGCATTTCCGGAATGCTTCGCTCGCGAAATTTTCTTTTTTTTTTTTTTTTTTTTCCTTTTCCACTAAGAACGACTCCCAGCCGCATTGGCGATAACCTGTTTATCTAAATCGCGCCGTTCGTTAACCCATCAAGGACCAACCAGCAGTTCTATCGTAATTAGTTGTACATATTTTTATTTCTTTAAATGTCCAGCCAGATGATGATAATAATATTTTTTCATACATTGAAAAATATCAAGCAATTATTCTTGAAATTTCTCCTCGATATCAAAATATTTAGATTGTTTTTAAAATTCTTTCTTGTGGTTGCAGTGTTAAAATGTTTAAAATCCTGAACAGTTGTTTTTGCGAATTATTTCGACTACTTTATCATCAAAAAAAAAAAAAAATGACCCGTTCATAATGTATAAATACACAAGAATTTAAAAATATTCGAGAAAACTATTCAAATAAAAGATGTATCGTCTAATGGCCGAGTAACGAAACAATCCAAAGGAAATAAACATAATTATTTCAGGTAACGTCTGTCTAAATAAGAATAATATGTTTATTCGGTTCGTCATTCTTGAAATAATGGCGTGACTCTTAAAATATTAATTTTTTAAAATATTAAAATATTTGAATATCAAGTAAATATCCTCCTCATGGCTAAACGAAATAAAACGCAACGATTTGGCCCTTGATGGGTTAACCTGTAAAACATTTGACGAAAGTTCATATCGACTTTGTCGCCGATATACTCGAACAAGCGTTTCTTTTCCAAAAAGTTCTTCGACTCTCTTCCCCTTTCTCTGTTCTCTTTCCCCTCTGCTCTCCCTCTCGTTTCCAACTCTGTCTGCCATCCTTCGATCCATTCCTGCCCAGTGCCGCTCGCGAGTTTCATTTGAATGAGTTTATTATGTCGACGATGCTCACGTACGTGCCGATCACGAGGCCCAGCAGGCCGAACACGATCAGGCAGATGTTCTTGATGAACATGATCATGCAAGGTCCGAAGTCTCGTTCCGGCCAGAGCACGCAAATCTCGATGATCGCTGGAAACGCGATTCCAAGGGCGGAGAGACAGAGTGCACCGAACAGTGAGATGAAGAGGCCCAGCCTGGGAACGGTGATGGCCAATGTGACTGCAGAAAAAAGAGAAAAGAAAATTCTTTTGCATTTTGTACGGACAGAATGTGAAGAGACGAAAGAGAATGTGAGATTTTTTTCTCGATTTTTATTGAAACTGACAATTAGACAGACTATTTAATAATTATTAATAGATTTGGTAAATTGGGTATTTGATATTAAACTTTTAATTGTTGATTCAGGAGAGATACTACGTAATTTGAATTTCTGTGTTTTATTGGAACTGTGTAAGATAGTTTTCTGAAATTAATTGTTCAGGCAAATGTAACATACTAATAATTCATAATCATTCAGTTCTTGATCAAATCTTAATAGTTATTCAGTTAAAGACATTGCTAGATATTTGATCATTCATAAATTCAATGAAAAGTCCTTCTGAATGCTCTTTTGAACATTTCTGCGAATTTTTCTAAAACCAGGAATTTTTAATATTACAATTATTCGTGTATTTAAATTTTAGTGTCTAGCCTTTAAAATCTCACATATATTATATATATATATATAATATTATTATATTATATTATACACACATATTAAGTTTTAATACTAGAATATATATATTCTAGCATTAAAACTTCTAGTAGTAGTATTATATTGTATTATACTATACTAGTTTTTATATTATACTATACTAGTTATTATATTATATTATACACACATATTAAGTTTTAATATATATTCTGGTATTAAAATTTCTAGTAGTAGTATTATATTACATTATACTATACTAGTAGTAGTAGTACTATATTATATTATACACACATATTAAGTTTTAATACTAGAATATATATATTCTAGTATTAAAACTTCTGCATGACATTAACTTCAAACAGTGCATTGAAAAAGACACGGAAATTAATAAACTTACACGTGGCCAAAGTGATAATGGTTCGACAGACGTACTCCCAGAAAATCTTTCTCTTCTGTATCTTCTGATCGAGATAAGTGTTCCAGATAATTTCAACTGGAACGTATCCTTGTAAAGCGTGCGTGATGAAAATGGCTATGGCGAACATTATTTTGATACTTTGTGCCATTCTGTAAAAAGAGGGAATATCCGCGTGATATTCGAATAATAATGATAACTTCGTCGAAGAAAACGTGAAACAAAGCTCACTCACACTTCTTCCGATGGCAGATTAAAAGTAACGCTACCACCAGCCTTAGATCCGTATTTTATGTAACCGAAGAACCCTATGAGAATATACAAGGCCACTATCACCGTCATTCCTATGTTCAGGACGCCGCAGTATCCTCCGAAATATTGCGGCGTTTTCATATTGTTCTCCAGTGCGATTATCTGCAACCGAAAAGTATCTTTTAAAAATTTTCTTTTCGAAGAAAATCATAAGATTCACGTTATGATTTATTCGTAATTTTCGCAATTAAATTTTTCTAATCTTCATAGTACAAAAACCTATACTTGCAAAATTTCTGTCAAGTTCAGTTTTAACAACTTTTCAGAATTTTCACAACTGAATGTCTGCCGCTAAACCTTCGTTTATCCCCATTTTCTTCGTAATCCGAATTTTCACAGTTAAATTCTCTTAGTTGAATTTTCATAATCTAAATTCCCTTAATTTTCTTCACATTTATAATCTACAGTTCTTGACAACCTTCGACTAGCTTTTTATCATTTTTGTAATTTTCCATAATCTTCATTTGAAACCGGAACCACGATTTGAATTCGCCTGTTAATTCAATCTCTTGCGCTGGAATTTTTTTGTCGCAAAATTGCAATATTTCCTCAGTTTTAAGTATATTTAAGTATATTTATTATATAATACTAAAATATACATACTAAAAATAAATAGTAAATATACTATTAACCAGTAAATTTAGTAAATATATTTAATAAATAATAAATATAGTAAATATATATAGTAAATATAGTAAATATATTTAATAAATAATAAATATAGTAAATATATATAGTAAATATAGTAAATATATTTACTAAAATGGTAAATATAGTAAATATATTTACTAAAATGGTAAATATAGTAAATATATTTACTAAAATAGTAAATATAGTAAATATATATACTAAAAAAATAAATACACTTAAATATAAATATTATATAATATTTAAATATATTCAAGTATATTTATTATAATTTTAAGTATATTTATTACAACCCAGGCAAAACAAATAACAAATTTATTACTTCTCAATAATTTCTATCCAGTGATATCGCACCGTGCGAGTTTCAAAAAGAAAGCGACGAATTATTCATTTTGTACGGTTCGGTCACTCGTTACGGTCCGCAATCAGCTGCCAGCGCAAGCTGGTTTGAAACAGCGACACCGACGATAAATTGTATCTGATATCGTGAGAGTCACTGGTAATGTTCGACGGTGGCTGAGAACATCTGAGAAATAATAACAGGGATTGCATTGACGCACTGACGATCTGATCACGGCAATCTCAAAGTTGTTCTTGTAAGTGGCCAGTTATTTGTTTATTAACGATGCAGCGGCGCCGTTGATCTATTCTAGGCGCAGGCTACTCGGCTTCTGCCTAACAGTCACGGGGAATGATCGACGAGGCCAAATGATAGATCGATCGAGAGTAAAATTGAAAAACCAATGCGTCGAACGAGATATTGTTCTAAATTGCGCGTCTCGCGTCCAACTCGGAAATATTCCATTCACGTTTCTTTCGGTCACGTGTATATCTCCGTCTCGAACGATCTCAGACAATCTCGTACAATCTTTTACGATTTCTTTTTTTTTTTTTTCATTTTCCTTTGGTTCGGGGAACCATTAGTTAATTCCTTTGTCCTGTCAACGACTACCGAATTTCTTTTCTCTAAATCTTTCGTCTCGTCGCGTGACAAAATATTTCAAACGAAAGGTTGATCTAACTTGATATTACGAAAGTTCATTGACTAACAGAGTTCTTCACCATCTTTTTACATTTATTGTTCTGTAACTTGAAGAATTGAGAGGTCTCGATAATTGTGGAATTCTTTTAATGTAAATTTAGAGAAGGAATCGTAAATTCCTTACGAAAGTTTTAATAGTGTTTTAATAGTTCGGGGATGTTGGTTACAATACAATTGTCTAGACTTAGAACAATTATCTACTTTCTCAACTATTGCCCAAAGTTCCTCCCAAAAGAAGAATGTCGAGAAATTGGAAAAAATCAAACGAATTTTTGAACGTGTTAAGTAATCAAGGAAATTAGAAAGAAATGTCAAAGAAATTGAGGATTACGAAACTCGAGGAAAGATGATAAGAAATTAAATGTTGAATTAAATAACATGAAAGTATGAAGGAAATTTAAAGACGAAAAAAAAAAAAAAAGAAAAAGAAGAAAGAGAAGTAAATGAGATCGAAGGAAACTTACCACACCGACAGCCTCCAAGGCGAACAACGTGGTACCGAAATAGAGGGAGAAATTTCTCAATGTACCGAACATCTCCCTCTCGTTGACCGACGGCAGATCGTTAAACATGTACACTAGGATCATCGCCAGTCCAACGAACGTGATCGCGTTCGCCAAGGTGGAGAACGGCGCCAGTAACTTGAGGTTCCTAATGTAATTGATCAAAATCAGCGGTAGCAATAAAATCAGCATATGGGTTTTAACATCCAAAGGTTCCCAGTACTGGTCTGCCACCTGCATTTATCAACAGAAGAACGAAAGACAACGATATCAATGAATTTCGAACGATCATGCCAATCAAGAAATTCTCGTCTCTTTTTGTTTCGTTCGTGAATTTCTTTTTTTTCTATTTTTCTTTTTTTTCATTTTTTCTTTGTCAATTTTTTTCCCCTCACTCTTATCGATCAACATTACAACATTATAATGTCACTGTTAATTGTTTGATTACTTAATTACGCAGATATCGATTCAACTATGGCCGTGCTTTTTTTTTTTTCTTTTTCTAAGTTTTCTTTTGCCTTTTCATTTTATTCGTTCGTTGTTCGATCGGTTTTTGGGTCTCTTTCTTTTTTTTTTTTTTTTGTCGTTTCTGGGATTTTGTAATTATTGGGTGTTCGTAATTACATTCTAGAGG